TCAGCAGGAGCAAGGAATAGCAACACCCAGCCACAGAAGTGCTCAGGAGGTGTATTTGGGGGTCACCGACTTAAATCACACCCCTAGAACAGCTACTGAAAAGATCTTCCGAGGATCAGAAGCTACAGCATGCAGATCCCTCCTAGGATCTGGTTTTACCAGTGACTCTGCAACATCATTTTTCAGAGCTTTGCAGCTGACCTCCCTCTGCTCACAACTGCGCTGGAGTCTGGTGCAATGGAGCAGCAACTAGCTTCAGAGCTCTGGAAAGCAAAACCAGGACCAGATTTGCCCATCCTGGAGGTACCAGGATTTGGGGTTGCCCTGTATTGTGAAGAAGAGCTAAAGGCGATATCTGTTCGTAAGGTCTCCAGTGGGAGAAAGCCTGATTCCTACTGGTGGACAGCCTTGGTTGGCTCAGGGCCAGATCCAGCCACATACGGCTGCTCCCACCGCAAGGGGATGTCATTGCAGGCGCTATGCCAGGCGGCAGTGGAGTGTGTGTGGGGACCTCAGGCGCCCACGTTAGACCTCCCCAGGTCCCTGGTGAGACAACCCCTTTCAATGCTCGCTGGGAGCAGAGGACTGGGCTGGAAGGTAAAACTGCCACTATTCACGGAAAGATTCGAAATGCAGGCGCACAACAACGCTGAACAGCAAAGACATGCACTGCTAGAAAAGCTCAGCCGCATTCATCTGTGGAAAAAGGAAATTAAAAGTGGCAGGTGAAGGATATGACCCGCTGTGGAGAAATGCACAAGCAGATCAAAATAGGAACCATTATCCTCTTCTCTCTTTTGCTCCTTTGAGGACTTTTCCAAGGCGTTAAGCAATCCCCACCACCACGTTGATCCCCCTTTCCCCCCTACAGCCACGTGCACAGACATACACTCATGATCTAACCCAGCTTATTTTGGCTGGCTTAAACAGACACACTCAATTTACGATTATTTGAAAATTGGCAGCTAAATGTCTCTGGTATACAGTGAAGCAACTCGGGTATTTTAATATTATGAGTAATATGTGAAGTACGATTAATGTAGTGAATAAAACAAGCAGTCTTTACACGCTCTTCTGATTCGGAAATGAACTTTACAATGTTCCCTGCCAGCCTTCTGCAGAGAATGACTAAGTATCTCTCCTAGAAGCCAGCGTGCTCTCTCTCCTTCTCTCTGGCACTCCTTTCTAAACGAGGGGGAGGTTTTCTCTTTCCAGCTTAACAGGTCCATTATTATTTCTCAAAGAAATAAGAGAGAGCAAGCTTTTTTAACAATAACATTTAAGTTATTGCCCATGTAGTAGAACTGCACCTACATAAAACATCCTAGTGGTGATCTTTTAATCTGCCTGGGATCTTCCTTGTAGTGAGGGACAACTGCCTTGTCCGGAAAACAAGACTTGGCCCTGCTGCGTTGACCAGCTGCCTTTCCTTCCTATCGCAGACAGCAGCGCTTGCCTGCAGGGTACAGGCATGCAGTCCCAGGCTGCAGGCGGTGTGGGAAAGCCACTGTGATCAGGCCCTCCACACTTGCTCAAGAAGCAACAAAGAGGAGTCGGAATAAGCAGGATGTTATCAGTGGCATAAGTTGGTGTCAGGAAAATAAAAAGCTAGCTTAAATCTTCTTAGTTACCTTGAGCTAATGAAAAAAACAAACCCAACCCTTGCTTAAATCAAAGTAATGCTATGGTTTCTATAATGAGTGATTGTTTAAAAGGGTTTAGTCAGAATGGTACAACCTTTTGGTGTAAAGAAAATCTGAGCTGTTTCTTACAAGCAGAAGTCCTGCAAGATACTTGAGGTGGGTGGATCACCTTTACTTGTGCCTGTGACCAGCCTCCACTGAGGCTTAAGTCAATAATGTATGTAATTAAACTTATATTTTAATAGTTAACCTGAATTGGAAATCCCTTGTAAACTCCCTTCTGTAACTCTTTTACAATATGAAAGTTAATAGTGGGTACACTCATGCACTGATATTACTCTGAACACCTTCCCTGTAGTTGCTGTGCGTTTGTAAATGTGTGCACAAGAACACAGCACCGCAGAGGACACAAAAAAGAGCCCAAAAGAGCCTAAAAAAAGGGTCAGCTCCTCAGTTGCCCGTGCTTAGTACTGAATAAGGTTCCAGTCGCCAATCAAGACCAGACCTCATACTGTATGTCCAGGGTTATAAATGCTTCTGGTTTGCTGTATTGTACCAACAGATACATTTTCCAAAGAAGTGCAGATATTACCTCCTACTCCTGCAGTGCTGCACTTTCTCCCGCTTAAGGAAATGAGCAATTTCTGACATTCTCCCACCATATCTTCTGCTGGAACAAGGGGGACGTGGAAGCTCTATGCACCTGAGCAGTGCATCTTTGAAACAAGCTACAGCTACCCTCACACCGCGAGAAAAGGCAAATCTCTGAGTTACAGGATTATGGCATTTCTTGAAAGCACAACACCAATTCATTAGCCAGCTCCTCAACTGATATGAATTAGGGTAAATTGCCATGGCAGTATGATTTAACCTCAGTCCAAGCACTAAGATACATTGTGCTGGCACCTTTCCGTAAAAACATATGCCATGGGTCACTCTTGATCTGAAGACTATGGCTAGAAGATGACATTTTGAGAGACCAGCAGCGGGGCAGAAAGAAACCTGGGAGGAGGCTTCCCACAGGTCAGGGGGTGGGCAGGGAAGAGAGAAGCACGGCTAGAGCAGGCTGGCTGTAGGAGGGGAAATCAGGATCAGAAAGCGGCAGAGACCAGTTTTTTTGGGGGGGGTTGCCTTTAGAATTAAGACAAGGCAACTCCAGCAATGTATTGTACTTATCTAACCCACCGTGGCCACAGATTGCCAAAAGAAAACTACCTACAACCAAGGTGGCACTCACAGCAACAAAAATCAACCCAGCAGCTAAGAAACTTCACTTCTTTGGACAGACTACTCA